AATATATATTACATGAAGAATCCTGGAGAAAATGACGTTTCTGCAGTAGTAGGTATGTCCCATGTAGGTATATGAAAAATAGGTAGTAAATAAACACTGTTTTTACATTTTTAGATGCAAGAAAATGGTGTTATAATCTCTTTGATCGGCGATTTTTTTGAAAATGGAAACAATTTACAGCAAGGTAAGATCATTTTTAACTATAGCCAACATTAGTTATCTCCAGTATGTGCGATTTATTGTGAATAATGCAATAAATCGGACTGATAATCTGATTATGTTATCCGACTAAAAGTCTCTTTTTGCTTCTTTTTGATTTATAAGCCAGGTCTCTTTGGGAATAATGGACGCTTTTTTTAAACAGTATTTATATTTTATACCTATTGATATTTTTACATTGTTAATTTTAGTATAAAAAAATTTGTTTTTCTGTTTTCAGGTTTTTGTATAAGGCTCCCGTTTTCATGTTCCTGTGTCCGTTTTCTGTCCTTGAAGTCTGCGAATACGTGTATTTATTTACAAATTACTGTAAGTCATGCTTATACCTTAAGTAATTTACGTTAAAAGTGCATATAATTAACTAATTGGTATTGAAACAATACAATCCTCTATATTTTTATATTTATTTAGTCACGTTGTTCCATATTTCAAATAAATATATGTGAATAAATTATTTTTTGGTTTTATTTATGAAAAGAAAAAATACAAAATACATTTGAACTGAAACAGGGCCCGCCATTGAATAACCGGAAACGGAAATGAAAATTAAGCCATCATGTCCTTATCATGTCAACCTGTCAATTGGAAAATTAGTTCTCCAGACGACAACGAAGGCTTTCGGTGGCGTACCGTGTTTCCACGATTTAACACAGAGTTGACACTTCTTTCTAGTTAATTATTTTATGGTACACTCGTTCGACTTTTGGCTCTTGCCTGCGGCTCGAGCCAACAAACTGTCGAACTCGTGTGCAAAACGTCGTTTTCGAAACTCGTTGTTTAATATACTATTTCACAATATTTTGAATAATCACTTATCAGTCAAATTTTAAATTTATTATTTTCCAGCTATGCGTTACAGTTGTACCGACTTATTTTCTTGTAAAATAAAATAAACTACTTTGAAATTAAAATGACAGACACATCTATCACTCTGTCAAGGATCTTGTCGTTAGACAGACTATATCTATCACTGTCAAGGATTTTGTCATATGACAGGCTATAGTATTGCAGAGACCGTTCAGAAACACCCTGTATATTTGCGCAGCTGACACCGTACGTATTTCACTTGACATCGATGCCGGCGAACTTGACCCGAAATTCTTCGGCTACAAGGTACTTCACCAAGAAAGAGAAGACGGTACGGCGAGTCTGGGGCCGTTCATTGTCAAGGGAATAAAAGTGCTACTCGGAAGCTGGCCGAGGAAAGTTAATATTAATCACGATTAAATATCTGCGTTTTGTTCTTGCTGTTCACGTGCGAGGCCTTTAGAAAATGCAGAGGCCGCATGGAGAGAAAACAAACGTGAGAATAACGCGTTTTACATCTTCGGTGGAAAGTGAAATTACTGGGAAATATAATGGGACGGATAGTTCTCACAGGATTCGGCGTATTCTTTGTTAATTACCGTCGAGATTATTAATCAAACTTTAAAGTAACGAATTGAAGTGTAGTTTAAATTATATTGGTACTCTTTACTCATTCTTGATGAATGAGTAAAGAGTACCAATAGGCCAAGAGCCGGGTGCAAAAACATGCAACAGTTTTCTGGAGGCTCATATTTTCAAAATCGATTGCATTTAAAGGGAGAGTCAGCAGTTTCAGTTCCGGAACGCATATTTGTATGTTGCACACAGATTATCCATTCGGAATTAGTCGGGTCTGCTGCGATTCGGCGGTATGTAAGTTATACTCAGAAGAGCACTTTCTTGGATAAAGCGAGTGCAACATACAGAGTAGTGTTGACGTTATTATGAATAATTATGTTTTGTGAATTGATGACTTATATGGGTATTATCTATGTTATATTTTCCATCCCCTTTAACGATATAGCATGGGAGCAAAAAAAATTAAATATGTGAATGAATAGGCATACTGATTCAAAATTTCAGGAATCGGAATAAAGAACACCGATACTCTAGAAGATCGATATCTATCGCCCAACATTACCTAAACATGACCTTAATTTTTACAAGTACAAGTGCTTGACAGCTAGGACCATAGACGCTGTGATTAGTGTTTTTTTTTTATTTTTAAATAGCGTGATAAAACTGCATAAATAGAAAAAACTCATTCCAATTATGATTGAAAAGTCAGGCAGAAGTAAAGGTTTAATTTTATTTTTTTTATTATTTAAGGAGTCATAGCACGTAATTCTTTAAGATGATTGTAAGCGTTTCACTAAAAACAAACTCCAAATGTTTACACAAACTAGTTTACATATCGAATAGAACTAAAAATATTTAGGTAAAAGAAATATTAGGTATTCCAAACGTTTTGTTGATTACTAACCAAATTTATCTCCAAATACAAAATTACAAAAAATATAGTTCCTTTTTTTAGTAATTTGTGGTGCATCACCCAAAAATTTACAATATATGGAAATATAAACAATATAATGTACACACTAGTGCGTAAAGTAAAATTTAAGAGGCGATTTGACATGTTGACAAAAAGTTATTTTATGCACTAGTGCGTAGAGTATAGTCTGTCCAACGACAAGATCCTTGACAGTGATAGATGTGTCTGTCATTTTAATTTCAAAGTAGTTTATTTTATTTTACAAAGAAATAAGTTGGTACAACTGGAACGCATAGCAGAAAATTAATATATTTAAAATTTGACTGACAAGTGATTACTTCAAAATATTGTGAAAAAAACTGTATAAAACTGAAAAAATGTAATCGAGTTATTTTATTTAATAAAAAACGGTATGTGTAATAAGACACCACATACCAAAAAACATAAAAAAGAACTATTTCTTACTTTCAAGCTTTATGAAACTTCCCGCATTTATGATTATATTTATCAATATAACTTATGTACAAATACAAATTTGTAATATTCCACAGGAATAGGTATATAAAACAAACTTTTTTATTAATAATAACACTTGCCAAATTTTATACCTTAAAGGTTGATTAATTAACTTTAATCTTATTTTTTTTAAACTGTAAACTTTAGTATAGTCCTTCTACCATATACGAGATGCACTTATCTACGACGAGATGGTATACAAACTTTATTGATGGTAACTTATAGTATAAGACTTTGTGGCCTGGGCAGCGAGTATTAACCATAAACTGTGCTCTGGGTCTACAGTTAATTTTCACTCGACTTTTCCTCCACTAGACTTCAAAAGACACAAAACACACGTAATAACACAAATCAAAATCCATCATCTTCCAAAACGTAGGGTATTTGACAAAAGTTGACACAAAATTATAACCTATAATTTGGCAAGACTTTGACATGCGTCAAAAATCTAAAGGCGAGTTCATACGCATCGGCGCGGCGTCCGTTTGTCGTTCATCGTTCCGTCAGACCAATAAAATTGAAATACGTAATTTTTGAAATAATCCAATAAAACTGGTTAAAAACAACAAGAGACGACGCATGACGGATTTATATTTAAACCGATCCATAGTTAACTTAAAAATTATTAGAAACTTTTTTTAGTAAAATAAATAGATTGGTATGGGACGTCATCTGCTTTTTTTCTGTCATCGTCTGTCGAAATCTTACCTGAGAAAAAAACAGAGTATATCTAATTTTCTTTACCCACAAGTGCAAAAAAAAATTACGCACCGCCTCGCTTTCGTAATGTGAGTACTTTACGCACGGTCGTGGAAAAAATATATTATTTATTATATGTAAAAATATATTTTTAATTATTCGCAAAAAATTTTACACATATTATTGCGAATGAAAACAACACAATCAAACAAACGAATAAGTTATCAAAAATCTATTAAAATCACGATCTTTTAAAAAATTATTTGCTGTGGGTTTCTTTGATTTTCACTATTAGAATGGAAATGTACTCTTATATGTACTTATCTAATAGGTAATTTTTCTACAATACTCTAAAATGTACTTATCTATTAGGTAATTTTTCTACAATTCAAAGGTTGAGACCGTGCTTTATAGGGTGTAAAAAAGACGACTTTTTCTGCATTACAAATTATTAAATAAGTCCATTCTAAAATAAATTTCCTTTTTAATATATATCTACTCTGTATGTTGCACTCGCTTTATCCAAGAAAGTACTCTCCCGAGTGTAACTTACATACCGGCGAATCGCAACAAACCCGGCTAATTCCGAATGGACAATCTGTGTGCAACATACAAATATGCCTCCGGACACCTGGTGCTGAAAAACGTACAAAGATGTAATTTTAATTAACACCTCCAAACTGTGTTTTCTGAAGGCTGAAAATTTGTAGATAACATCTGAATGCAATGTTAAACAAAAATATAACAGTCAGAGAAGTATGGGGACTCAAAGCGCCAGCGCTACCTCAAACGCGCTGTTAAAAAAATGTTGTCACTCGATGCTGTAACAGAAAAAGTTATCTTTACTCCGAATAGAATATGCTATTTTTTTAAAAGCAATAAATAAGTTTTTAAACAATTTCAAACGTTCTAAATGCGTGCGTCGTCTTATGGAGTTTGCTGGTGGTCGTATTATGATGTGCAACCAAAGTTATTTTAATTTCCCAAACTATGGTTACGCTCGTTGAATTTGACACTTTATGTCAGTTTAATCACAGGTTTAATATGGTTTAATAATATATTTTCGTGATAACTTTTCCTGATTTTTTCAACTTTTATGCTTAGGCGTAAAAGTGCTTTATTTTTATGCCTAGGCATTTAAATTGCTTTTTTATATTGTCAATCACGTCGCAAAAAATAATACTTTTGTGACGTTTGAAAAAAAACATTGTTTTTATATGACAGATAATATACAGTATTTTTAATAATATAATGTTCTCTTTTTCAGGTTTTCATTCTTCTTTTACTATCTTACCATATCATATTGACAACAACTGAAGACACCTCCCAGAAGACAAATAATACCTTAAACAATACAGGCGTCCGTGACGAGAAAAACTCAACATCACAAAAAACCGAAACTTTGTTGAGCGAACTTGCTAAAATCATCAAAAACCCATTCGATCTCGATTCCAAAGAGCTTAAAAAAAGAGACGATTTGTTTGCATCGGCATCAGAACACGTCAATGCCAGACTATTCTCTGCCAGAACTTACTCTAACGATTACTCAGGTACTTGTTACTCGTGTAACAGCGTACCTTGGGTACCTATAGTGGGCAGAAGTTTAAATTTACATTCCTCTTCAAGTCACTTTGGCAATAACGCACCGTATTTTAGAGAAAAACAGAATTTGAATCAAAATTATGGAGCCCCGCCAGTTGATCATTACGGAGCACCTCAGAGGAGTTTTGAGTATCCTCGTTTTGGAGATGTGGTAGACTATATGGTACCACCTCCATTTCAAAGGCAAGGGTTGTTAGGAGGCAACTATGGACCACCTAAACCAGTGTATTTACCACCAAAACCTCTATACAATTCTCCAAAACCATCATACTCGCCTCCTTATTCATTTTATAATGCTCCAAACTTTTTTGATATAAAACCACCACCTTTACAGCCGTCATTTAGACCATCAAATAATTACTTACCACCAGCCATGAGCTATGAACCTTCTACATCATATGGAGCACCTATGATACCTAATAATTATCAGCATTCAGGACAAAATGGTCCTACTACATATTTGAGACCAGTATCACAAAATATCCAACCTCCCATCCCACCTATACACACTCTTCCGTTGGAAAATACCAGAATTCCTCCAGCTATACCTAGTGATAGCTACGGGAAACCTTTACCACTGTCTGGAGAAGTTTTTGGACCTGATCCTTCACACAACAATTATCAGCAATATGACGATGCCGTAGCTTCAGGAAATGAAAAGTATACTAATAGAATACCTGTAACTTTCCCTGATTTTAAATACATCCACCCTAAAAGAGTGATTTCTAGTTCATATCGCAACGAAGCTACCGATGTCCAAGTCGTTCCTAGTGTTAGAGTTGCTGATTATACTGCTTCTATTCAGCATCCAATCAATCTGATTCAATCTCCCATCTTAGATTTAAATATTCCCGCTGATCAAAAGATTTCATCACATAGCAACGAAGATAAATTTGTTGAAAGACCAGAACCATTTTATGATCCTTCTAAAGATTTTGTACCTGGATCTAAAGAAACCATTGAGTCATCCTCTGCAGAATACAAAAATGAGCATATTAATAACGAACAATCTATTGTGGTGGATGATACTTATGCTTCTGCAAGTAACTTAAACAGTACGTATTCTTTAAAAAATAATTACACAGTTTTGAAGAGAGATAATGAGTTATACACTAGTCAGGTATCATTTGATAATTCTAAAAGCAAAGTACAGGATGACAATTTAAGTAATAGTTTAATACAGAAGTTGATACTGGAGGAGAATATTATACCAGATCCCAGAAACCAGATTGTTAGTTTACAGAAAACTACCTATGAACCTGAACAACTAAAAGTGGACATTAATACAGATCAGCCGCCTACAAAATTGGTTAACTGGGCAACTACACAAGCTCTCTTGAAACCTACAGTATTGACGAAGCAAAACTACGGAAATAACAAGCAGCGTCCTTCAAAAACATTGCAAATTATAGTGCCTTACTTAAAAGCACCAGATAAACAAGATTCTTGGTCAGATTTTACATCGAAACCGCCAGCTATTTACAATAAGGAATACACAACCTTAGCTCCAGTTTTTGTACCTCCCCCTATTTCGACAGAGGCTTCTAATCTTTGGACAGTATTAGCTGAAGATATAAGGACAGTTCAAGCGAATAGAAATGAAGCCACCGGCTTTGTTAAAAGCACTAGCACAACTGAGGTTTATAATATTAAAGATTTTCTAGCTAAAAATCGCGTAAACGATGAGAATTTTTTACAGAAAAACATTGATAATTGGACAAGGCAGTCTTATGCTCATGGCTTGAATATTGCTGATAAGTTAACTACAAAATTGACACAAATAAAGCCCATTCCACAAGAATACTTAACTACAACAGTTAATTATGATGATGATCGGATATTAAACAAACTTGTAGCATCTTTTGGTAACATTGACGATCATCTGACTGCAAGTTCAAATAACAGAGACATAATTAGTAATGAAATAGAAGAAACTCTAGCTGATTCTTTCGAAATGAGTACTACAAAGCTTCCTCCCGAAACAACAACTGCTATCAAAGATACTTCTCCGAAATTTAAATACATTATTAAGGAACCATCGACAGTTCCTTGGGAGTCTAACAAAGTGACTTTATCAAATTCCACACACGAAAAAGTCTATGTGGTGACTCCGCAGAGCTACAGTAAAATTGTAACAAGCACTCCAGCTACAGCGTTTAGTATGGCACCAAAAATACAGAATGGAAAAGTAAACAATGCGTCAACCGTAACAAAAATCAGTGTGAGAATTGAAGGACCTGATGGAGTAAAGGAAAACAGCAAAGGGCATCCATTGAAAGTGGTGTTTAGCGAGTGGCCACACATAAGTAAGTTTAAATTATCACTAATTAAACGTTTTGTGTGACTAGGTCTAAAATATATGTTTAAAGGTTGATTCTCGCTCGTTATCTTTCGTATCAGCTATCTTCCGTTTACATAAAATATTATATTATGTAAATGAATAGGACAATGCACACTATCCGTTCCATATCCTTTCCTTCCATACATTTTTTTGGCAGACTGAACCGTATCGGAAACAGCGTTGTCAAGTTCTTATATTTGTACTAGTTCTGTTAACATTTTGCTAGATTCTTTCACCTCTTAATTAAATCTATTACCTTTTTCAAAAAGATACAATTTTTTAAAAACTACGACTACGGAACGGAAGCTTACGTATAGAGTCAATACAATAAAAAATACGGAACGGATATGGAATGAAAACGGAAAGTATAGTTAGAATCAATCTTAATGTGGCTTTCCATTATTTCAGTTAATGACCTAGAAACGACTACAACCCTGAAACCAACTTCGAGACATCCTCTTTTTGGCCTTATGGATCTTTCTGCTTATACAGAGGCTCCTACAAGCCCAGTAAATACACTAGATGGGCATTCAAAGGTAACTAATACACTAAATAATTTTTTAATTATTTTATTTCTAGTATTTTTAGCAAATGGAGATTGACAATCGTTTATCAAATTTTTATGGATTATGTACGGTTTGATTAGAGTGTGATTGGGGAGTGGCGAGCTCAGTCATACAAATTATTATCATTTTCAGCTTATTCAACTATTTCCAATTATGATGTCGCCTCCATCACATTTTTAGATACTCTCATTGTAGTTGGACCCATTGTTGTCTATTGTTAGCTATCCGGATCCAAGTTAATATTATGGTTCCATCTCAAGTTTGGTCTTTCTCTAGGTCTCTTTCTTCAGGTTTCGCATGCATTCATGATTGTCATGATACATTGGTCGAATGTTCTTTTCTTTAGATAAAGTTGGATTCTAGATTTGAATATGATTGAGTTTCTTCAACTTTCTTCTAGTTTTTGCTAAATTCATTTTGAGACCCACTTTATTGCCGGCCACTTCCTTAAGTCATCACACAATCTATAACGCATCATAACCCTGTTGTAGAGGGGACAGGGTATTTCCCATCCTCCTCTGACAATAGTTCTTCCTCCGAGGGTACACACCCTTCCACGGTTGGAGTTTGGCCCTCCGTGCCGCTCTTCACAGTCGAGGAGCTGGCCTCCGGCTGAGGAACCCGTGAGGTGGAGACTGCAGGATATGTCTCCATTTTCTCCACCTCTTCAACTTGGTCTCTCCTTAGACCTGATACCGGTGTTGTCCCGTATCTATAATAGAGGATATGTCCCTCTTTATCTATTGCCTCCTTGGATTTGAGGTCAATTTCTATCGTGAGGACCTGGCTATGACCCTCCTCCCTCGAGTTGATGACTCGCCAACTCGATGTCCTTACATTGAAGTTCTGACCTTGGATAAGGCTCAGCAGGTAGGTGGTGTCTTTCCCCTTGCTCCTCGGCAGAAAGACCGTTCAATTAAGACTATGTCATCAGCGAATTTTAGATGGTTAAGATATTCTCCATCTATACTTAATCGTTTGTTTGTCCAGTCGAGTTGACGGAAGATTTCTTCTAGTGTTGTTGTAAATAGCTTTGGGTGAATTGCGTCTTCCTGTCGTACTCCTTTGCTTTTTATCATTGCTGTTTTCATTAGATCTTTAAAATAATAATTAAAGGGTAAATAAAAGTAATGCTCTGACAAACAAACAACTTTTTCATTGATGTTTTTAACTACATTCTGAAATTACAGACTTCTCCACACCTTTTCCTTTATTATATGTATAGATTAATAATTGGTAAAAATATATATTTAATTCTTTGAATAAGAAAACTAAGGAAGGAGCATATAAAAAATCTTAGGTACACCGCGATGGGCCTCAAATATAGCCGACTTAAATTCCGGTTTATTAGTGTCGTTCTAATTTTATTTAAAAAATGTAAAACTATGATGTAGAGTAGACGTGGGGTAGACTCAATAATTTGTTGTTTTATTTTACGTTGTGAATAAATGTTGGTAGTTTTTAAAATTGTTATAAAAATATATAATTCTAATAAAAATAGATAAGTTATAATAAGTATTAATTAACACAAACATCCGATACGCTACTGAAGCAGGTAAGTCAAATTAACGTATCTAAATTCTTTGACAAGTAATAAATAAAAGCTAAAATGCAAGAAAAATATATAATTTAGTTAATTTAAGTGAATTTCATAAATGATCGGTTTACTACACATATGTATATTATATAGTCACTTACTAGCGAAAAGTTGTTCCATTATTTCACTCGATTTTTGCCGAGATCTACCGCACGCTACACAACCAACTATTTTAAAGTATTTTTCGATAAATTACGATAGTGTCACTGTTAATTTAAGTTCTGCCACAATTTCCATCTAGATTTACTACCTTTATACAACTATCAGTAGTAGAATAAATAATAAATAACATAAAATAAGCTCCGTAAAGACTGACAAATCCACAAAATTTCAAATCAAATTCAAATGTGCCAAATGAATCGTCAAACAGAACTGTCAAGGATCCCCACCCTAGAGTGCTTTTTCCGCCCACCATGCATGAATACATGGATAGCATTATGCTCCTTCCTTAGTCTTCTTATTCAAGGATTTAATTGAATATATAAATTATTTTTACAGGTGACAAAGGCTGTAAGCTCCTCCACACCAATAATTTCGAGTACTTCCCCTAAACCGAGTACAAATACGACTGAAATAGTAAAGATTGCATCTTCATCATAACCTAAAACTTTGAATCTTCCGAGACACTGCCACATGAACAAATATATATTATTTTTTTTGTAAATATTAGTTGCTAAGTTAATGTAAACAAGGCTCAAAGAGTATAGTCATGTATGTTTTAATACTATTTATTTCTTATAAATTAACAATTATTTATGTTCAATAAAGTAATTTATTGGTTGAATTGTTTTATTTCTTGTGTATCTAAAACTATCACCATCATTTATAAACATGGTGTTGTGTTGCATATAAAATTTGCTTAAATTTAATAACCAACGGTAAATAATAAATGTAATTCGTATTTGTTGAATTTTATTCAATGGTATGCAAGTCATACATAATGATAAATACATTAGGTAACACTAGTTTTTTTAGTACTTTGTTATATATTTTTTTAGAAAATTAATTTTAACAAAATGTAAAAAAGTAACATACGAAATATCTTAAATTAACATTTTTTTCTTATTTAATTTTCAATCCCAAAAGTTCCAGTCTCATTTTCAAATCTTACTATACTAAATATTTTTATTTTTGGAAAATTAATTATCAGTAATGGGTTTTCGATATTCCGGGGCCAAATTTGAAGAAATCTCGTAGCAATTCCACAGTCTCTCGTGAGTTACGTATGGAAGAATTTTGGCTACTTGCATCGATCCCTAAAAAATACAAATCCATAAGCAATTTTTATAAGTTTATAGTGCTTTTCATGAAATATATATCAACTAAAACTAAAAATAACCAGAGAATATGATAAAATTTATATAAGGGTGAGTCCTTATATAAACGCACTGACGACCAGGTCGCAATCAACCAAACCAAACCTAAACGACCAGTAGACTGCACTAAAATATTATTATTTGCCGCTTGTTGCCGCTTTTCTTTCAAATTAATAATTTTTAGATGATATCCTTTAAATTCGACACAAAATTTTCTACAAGATATAGTGTTTTAGTGTAGTTTTTGCACACGTGCTGGAAAACCAAAGAAATAGTATACAGACTAGGTCAAAGGGAAACTTAAATCTAGTCTTTTTTTATGAAGGGTTGATTCTAGTATAAATTCAAAACATTTTTATATGATATACTCTATTTATGGTTGATATGATATCTGTTATTATGCTTTCGAGTTTCGATGGTAGAAAATAAAAAAAGCATATTTAAAGTTTCTTTTTGATCTGCCCTGTATAATCTTTTTTTTTCTTTTTCTACAATATGTGCAAACTATACTACCTAATTACCCTACTGTAATTACCATTAATATTTTAAATACATTATTTAATATTAGAACGTTTAATAAGCTCATGAATATATAGGAATGTCGCTTTTTCGTTAAATCGGATATTTTAACATTTCTGAAAACAATATTTTCTAATTGGTAAAACGTAAAAAAATCGTTAGATCTGACAGTCCTGTTGAAACTGGTCGTTCATCTGGAAGTACTTATGTACGCAATATATCCGAACAGGCAACAAGGCATTTTTTGTGTTACTATTATAATTAACGACTATTGTATATAGTCGTTAATTATAATAGTAACACAAAAAATAAAATAAAGGATATTATTTTAATGGGACACCCTATATATACAGGGTGAGTCTTAAATAAGTGCAAATATTCTCGATATAAGAAATATATTTTCTCTTTACCATTTTTCAAGTCCAAAATAACCGAGTTATTTAAGTTTGAAAATTTAAAAAAAATAATTGTTTTTGAAAAAAATTTGAGAGCCACCTGATTTTTTCTGTATTTGCATCCCTTTTAGTGCCGTAACCATGGAGTAAAGCCGTAACTATGGTAATATCAGAGATTAAGAAATTATACTGTGCGAAAGTTTGCGGTGAACAGGCAGTTCTAAAAATTTTTCGAAAAGTATACAGGATACAAATTTAAAAGAAAATGCACGATTTTTAATATCTTGTTTTGCGAAAAAAAAAACCCTAATAGACGTGTTCCTGGGGTCGAAATATACCACACCTGAAAATATTTGCACTTATTTAAAACTCATCCTGTATACAGGGTATCCCAGGCTAAGCGTTCATTAGAAGTTTCTAGAGAACTACAAATTACAATACCTAGGTAGGAGATTTTTTGCATATCATTGTTTCACAACGAAATTTATTGATTAAAAATATTTTCAATATGGCGGCACTTGCACAATATGGTGGCACTTGCAAAGGTACCCCCGTTTTTTATTACATACTTAAATTCTCTGTAAAATTTTATGAATTTTGTGATATCAAACACCCTTTGCCTAAAATGAACCGTTTTTGAAAAAAAATATTTAAAACTTTTGGAGGAAGAAAACAGCCTGTCAAAAAAATGTGTATAGCCTAAACGTCAAATTTAGTGACTGCCAGAGCCATTACCAAATAGATAACCGTATCAAAATGTGGTTATCTATTTCATAATTTTTTTCCTTAGCAACTGTTAATATTGCCTTATATCTATCAAAAATGATCTGAGTGGTCACTCAGATCATTACCTTTTAAGATCAAAAATTCTCTTTCCACCAAATGAAATTAAACAAAACAATCAAGAGGAAACAGAAAGAACGAAGCCAGTTACCACAGTAAGATATAATTTAGAAAGTCTAATGCATGAAAGCGTCAGATATCTTTATCAGGCCAAGACTTGAAAAACTTATGAAGTCAGGAAGGCTTTTCACTAACACCCTTTTTAATGTCTGATTGATGATATTCAGTTGTGGTGGACTGATGGCTTGACTTGGAAAAAAGTATATTTGTGATTAAATCAGAACTGAATGGCCTTTTAAGAAAAATGGAGATAAAGAAAGAATAAATTAGGATGACCAATTAATTAATACATTATTCTAGGAGAAGATACGGAGTATGAAATTCTAAACACTTAACTGACAGATTCATTCTGCCAGAAATAATAACCAAAAATGGGTGAAATATTCAGAGGACAGTGTCAGGCCTTGTGAAATGGCATTGAAGGAATCTACGTGGATACCAACAAAATAGAGACCGCTATAATGTCTTTAAGGGCTGGAAATATATATACGTTCACAAAATCTGGAGGCAAAAACTGTTAGAAGGAATACAACAAACATAGTTAACCAGTGCTTAAATGGTCATCCAGTACATGAACAGTGGAAAAGACATATCTCTCTATATATAAAGGGCTCAGGAAAGATCCCTTCCTTTGAAATTTCAGTACCTGGCTTTTCCTGGGTCGCCTCTCACAGAGGATACGAGGCCATTGAAGATACTCCAGCTACGAAGAATAAGAGCAGAATGGTTTCACAAGCGGAAGATCATGTACTGAATAATATATTTTGCATTGAAACAGATCATGGGAAACACAGACCAGGAAGTTCATATATTAATCTACAACTATGATTTTAATCAATAAATTGTAGATATGGCTGATCAGGTAACGCTCTCTGATAAAGCTATTTTTATTGGGTGCTTAGCAAACTGCTATGGAAAATCACAAATAAAAACCGTCAACAGTCTCGCAGAGGAAATTTCTATAACTAAAGGGCTCCGACAGGGTTGCTGTATATCCCCAACACTATTTAAAAATTTATATTGTCCGGGCCTTACATCTATGGAAAAGAAAATGTAACGGAATGGGTATAGAACTAAATGACATATGCCTATACACCTTGCAATTTGCAGACGACCAGGCCATAATTGCAAACGACAAAAATGACATGGAATATATGGTGCCGGAAAATAATTGAAATATGCTAAATGGGGGTCTATTAAATACAGAAAAAACAAAATACCTTCCATTTGGAGCTATCACCGAAAATCTTATTTTAGATAATAATATGGAAATTAGGGCATGTGAAGATTAGGGGTACCTGGGATCGATATTTATAGGAGATGGAACGGACGATAGAGAGATAAACAACAGAGTAATACAGGCACGAAGAGTTATCAGATGCGTAAATGGCATTCTCTGGAGCACTGAAATTACAAAAACAGGAAATATAATATATGCGAGACACTAGTTAAAAGCATATTACTCTATGGATATGAAACATGGCGACTCACTAGAGAAAGGAATAAAGAAATTAGAGACAACTTAACAACAGAAATGGACTCGATTAGAAGAGCAATGAAAATTTCACGGAGGGATAAGATCAGAAATGAAGACATTAGACAACAGATGGAATAGAGGGAACAATAGTAAATGATATAGAACAAAAACAATTAATTTTGGCCACGTTCAGAGAATGCACAATGAAAGAATTCCAAAACAAGTTATTCATTGGATACCACATGATAAACGAAAGAGAGGACGTCCCAAGAAAACATGGATGGAAGGAATAAGAAGGTCGATGAGCGAGAAAAATCTGACCGAAGATCAATGGGAAAATCGCACAGGGTGGAAGTTAGGCATCGGACAACATCGTAGGACGTTCTGTACCGAATTTATATATATTTGTTATTTATATTGTTGCGGACCCGTGTGAACTCGACCTAACCTAACTATATGTCCCGCCCTCAGATGACCTTAACATCGCATTAAAGAATAGACACGGTAATGATTCATTCGTTCGAGAAGAATCGAGTCCCACTGGAATGGACTAGTACATACGAGAACATTCGAAAACCTTCTCTATGCACTTAACGATCTATGGTCTATTCTAGTGTTCTTTACCTGCCGGTATAAAGCCGGCGGCTGTGGCCTACAGGAGGCAGTTATAAATATACCAGTGCAGTTGACGCGCTAAAATTCAAAATAAATTCTTAGTTATAAATCGTTTGTAAATAGTTCTATAAGTCTTTTATCGTTATTGTTTTTGTTAATTAGTGTTAAATAAATAGTGTTTAAATAAATTGTGACTTTCTATCCACACGGAACCGACGAAAAACGTAATAATTGGTGTTAAGTGTGGCGTGTGTGATAGACTAGAAAAATAAAAAGACTAACAATGGCTCCGAAGAAATTGTTGAAAGACCTGAAAGTGTCGAATTAAAATGCATACTGGAAGAGAGAGAATGCGAGACAGATGGAAAGAAAAGCATTCTGTAAGCCAGACTGAGAGACGTTTTGATTGAAGAAGGTGAGGATCCTGACACCTTTTGCTTTGAGCTGGAAGGTGACCTTGACTCGTCCTTACAAAAATTAGAGGACAATTTGAATAATAAAATCAGTGATAAAATTATGGAAAATTCCCAGGATTTAATCAATACATTAGAAGATAAGATCATCGAAAATTCTAAAAAGAAATATACAGGCCAGCTTTAACAATAAATAGTAATTTTGGAAGAAAGTTTTAACAATAAAATAACAGAGATTGAGGAAGATGTAAAATAGAAAAATCAAATTTTAAAACAAGAAATAGCAAAGGCAAATTCACCAAAATGTCAAGAAACATCGGAGGCACCGAAACTAGTCGAAAATAAGTATATCTCAAAATCAGTTATTAAGCCTCCACAGTTTGATGGAAAAACCGCTTGGGCCAATTATTTTTGCCAGTTTGAGGCCGCTGCGAGCATAAAATAATTAACTAGAAAGAAGTGTCAACTCTGTGTTAAATCGTGGAAACACGATACGCCACCGAAAGCCTTCGTTGTCGTCTGGAGAACTAATTTTCCAATTTTTTTTAGTTTTTATTTTTATTTCCGTTTCCGGTCATTAAATGGCGGGCCCTTTTTCAGTTTAAATGTATTTTGTAC